GATTTTAAAAACGATTTTGATCGGGCCAGTTCGAACCATGACCAAATCTACCATCATTATATCGTAAATATTGACAGTAATTTTTAATATTATTTATATTAAATGATACAAAAATTGCTCACAACAATATGACAAGTGGGAACGTTGGGGCGAATCAAAAAAACTTGGGTAAAGCCGAATCTCAACGTTGGCTAGGTAAGCGTCATGTAGTAATTTTTATAATATAGATATGCAAAACGAGTTTTTTGAGAAAGTCTCGACAAGAGTTGTTTAAGTTAAATAGATCAAACTTAAATATTATTTAAATTAAAAATAATTAAAAATTATATTATTTTATTAAATAAAGCAAACCAAAAAGACATGATCCAATTTATCAAAAAATAAATAAAAAATTAAAAAATCGATGTTTACAATAGTACTAATCTGTCTACAATTTTTGAAAATTAGTATAATATGATAACCTTTATATAGCCTTCCAAACACTATGAAATAATACGAATTTAAAAAAAAAAAAATCTACTCTAACTTTTTTAGTATTGTTTATTTTTTATAAAAAATATTCAATATTTTTCTATTTATTAATTTTAAAAATTCATAAATTAAAAAAGATATATATTTATAAAAATAACATGGTGATAAATAATATGTCAATTTCAAGAATGGCAAAATAAAATTTGGCATTAAAATAAGTAAAAATCGACATTTGCTCCCACTTATTTATAATTTAATAGAGTTTTAAAGATATTATACATATTTTTTTTTTGCATATCACTCATCATGAATTAATTACTAAAATGATTTTGTACATTGTTTGTTAAGTTACTCGATTAAACAATTAATTAGTGTAAGAAGTCAATTAAAACTATAACTTTAAACAAAAAATTCAAAAATTAAAACTGTAATTTGAAACAAAAAGTTCAAAGCTTGTCAAAGATTTGTGTATTAGTTATTTTAATATTTTATAATTACTAAAAAAAAACTAACATATTGGTAGGATAGAATGGTAATACAATCTGTTAACATTTACTAAAAACTTTTTAAAAAATGTTCCTAATAAAATTAATTTAAAATAACCTTCCCTATTTACTCTTTTAAGTAATTTCTCAACCTTTATATATATGTATATATATAGATTGTATAAAGTTATATGAAGAATTTAAATTATTTTAGTACAACTTAGTTAACAGTTTAAAAGTATTTAAAATATTATTGTTGTTCTTGACTGTTATGTGTTGTACATAAATTATTACACGTTATACATTGGTCTTTTTGGGCCGGCCCATTATGCATGGAGCTACGTTACCCCTTGTAGAAATGGCGAAAATCCATAACTAAGCTTATGTAGATGTTCTATTCTTAAAAGGCGTTGGGTGTAGCAGAATTCCAAAACTACTCCAATTGATTCCATATGATTCACTTAATGTAACCGCAATAGATCCAGTATAATTAACTTCCTCCAATTCATAAACCAATTCAAAATTAAGTAAAAAAATTAAGTAAAAAATTGAACCAATCCATAAACCAATTAAAAAATTAAAAGCAAATATTCATAAACCAATTCAGAATTTTTTCCTCTTCTCTCTTCTTCTTCTTCTTCTAAAAACATAAGTAAAAAAAAAACAAATCAAAACATAAAACGTTTCTATTTCAATGTAATGATTTGCATTTCACAAGATTTCAAAAAATGGAAAAAAAATCTTACAATATCAGTGGATAGAAAAGTTAACATAAAAGCTAGTAAGATACTAAATAACACAAAACAATAATATAACAAAGTTAACATAAAAGTTAACAAATAAAAAAATCATCAGCAAGTACGAATCATTCAACCGAATAAACTAGCAAGATACTAAATAACACAAAACAATAACATAACAACTGTAAAAGCAACATCAAAACAACTTTAAAGCAACATTAAAATAACATGAAAACAACTCTGTTTTTTATGAAAACTACGCGTGTTGTGGGGCAGTTAATCACAAGTCCAAGCAATTTCATGAATATAACTCACAAAGCAATAAATATATCAATACCAAAGGCCAGTTAATTGTACGATAAACTAAAGTAAACAATAACAACAAGAAACCTGAGTCTGCTCGCCTCCACCGATAGAAAGAAAAAATGTAGTTGGATTTCAATTCTTATTCCGCCATGAAATTTTTTTTTAAAAAAAAAAAAGAAAAAGAAAAAAGAAAGAAGATGAAATTGAGAGAAAAAAAAGAAAACTGAGTTGTTAATCAAATTCACTAAAAAAAAAAGAATTTGCTGAAGAGAAAGATAAACATGGAAAAAGTGCAATACAACAATTGAAGGGATGTGTTGTTTCGGAGAAGAGAAGAGTAGAGAAAAAAGAAAGAGAGAAGAAGAAACATGCGACACTAGAAGAGAGAGAGAGAAAAAAAGGTTGGAAAGAGATAGGGAAAAAAAGAGAAGAAGGTGGACACCGTTATGAAAAAGTTAAAAAGTCTTTTAAAAATACATTTAAGTAATAAAATGGAGTAGAATTGGAAACATGAAAATGGTGTATTAAAATAAGAATAATATTTTCAAAATGGATAGATCGTGTCATTAATTCTGTAGAAATTGGGTTCATATCGTTCTGGGCCTAAGATATAAGAGAAGGAGCCTAAGAACCCGCATGATCAATCCTGTGCCGATCTACCTACAAAACTAGAGGGCTCTTCTACTAGCTAGCACATTGCGGTATCTTTTGTCGATTTTCGCAGTGTGAAATAAAAATCGGTAAAGCAAATTGATAAAACGACCGTTCAAACTGATCCACCATCAAAAGACGAGTTCTTGCATGGGATACATGTCACTCTCCTATGCCTTTAATTGACACATTGTCATCATTGTTTTCCTATATTTTCTATGCATAAAGGCTTCAGAATGATCATCGAGAAAAATCCACCAACACAGCCTATACTTTCTTTCTTCTTGAATCATTTAAACCAATTGCCTCATATTGTTTGACGATCTCTTTTACCTTGTATAATGACCCATTTTTACGCTCCATACTTTCATAAACATTTAAACAATTATTTTTACCCCTCTAATGATGCTATAAATCCGCCTCGTTATTTTGGTCGACATCTAACATCAACAATATGTATTAAATTTTGTTGAAGATATTATATTAATCTTAAGAAAAATTCATGTTATAAATAAATAAAAATATAAACATGTATCATATAAAATGTCAATTTGTATAATAACCAATATATGTTTTTTATTATATGCAAATTGATAATAAGTGCATTAAATATTTCTGATTGATTTATAGTTTAGTTCACCGCTCTAGTCAGGTATTTATTTAGTTGTACCGTTCTATATGATCATGTATTTAGATATTGGTCGTGGCTAAGTTTTAAAATACAATTTTTTTTATCCTAAATTATACTACAATGTTCATTGTGAAAAAATAATATTTATCGTTCTTAGTGATCTTAATTAATTATTTTCTACCATTATTTTAGTTTTACAACATTTATCATTCTTAACTCCTAATCAATATAAGAGCAAAAATTAAAAAAAAAAAAACTATTGAGGAAAAAAAAAAAACATAACCTTTAAACATCATGATGATTTCAAATGTGAAATATTAAAATACAACAAATATTCGATTTGAGATATTTGATGCAAATGGTAATTTTAAATTTCTATTTGGGATATTGATTTAAATGGTAAATTTTAAATTTTGAGATTTATTGTGGAACACGTAATAATAGAAATTATTGTCGTCCATTTTTAAACATATTTGTATTTTTAAACGAATTTATTGATACGTAAAAGAAGATAGAACACATAAATTATTCCAAAAGTAGATAATATTTTGGCCGACAATTCTGAAAATTAAAGTGCACGATAAGAAGAAGTAGGATAATATTTAGGCATACAATTTTGAAAACTAAATTACACGCAAAAGGATAAAAAGCCTACTTTAAATTTAATTTAAAAAATTTCCTTTATATGCAAGCTAACTATTTAAACAAAAAGTCAATCAACTTTTCACTTTTAAATTACACATCAACGACTTTCAATATGCATAGATGTGCAGTAAAATAAATTTAACTAAAGATAAAAATTACATATGAAATTTGAGAAGAAGTCAATAATATCTTTTTTTTTTTCTTTTTTTTCGCCAAATGATATTTTTATTAGAACTCCAAAAAAGGAGTACACTCGAGACGTCAACTGACATCACTAGAACCATAACAGATTCTTCATCTACCTCTCCATTGGAATTACACAATCAACCAAGAGAGAAGGAACAAGAACTCAACAATTAAAAAAAAAAGAAAAAAAAAAAACCACAAGTCTTTATAATTAACCAAAATAGATAGAACTCAAATTCAACACAAACCAAAACCATCAAATTTAACTAATCAATCAATTAATCATCCTGCAATTTGCCCTGATTTCCCCGCTCTGCCCCGACACAATATTCCCCATCTTCACCATAGACGCCACAAAGCTCTGGAAAAATGCATTCCTATTGCTGCTAAACTGCTGCACAAGCCCTCTTATCTGCGCGCTCGAATTCGAGAACAACTCTTGATCCGACTGCAGTAGCCCCTGACCCGTTAAAAGGTTCGAATAATACCCGGTGTCGAAACTGTCCCGGCTCGATGGGTCCAAGTCCGTCACCACCGACGTCAAGTTGGCCAAGTTTTGCGGGCAAACTTGCCTTAGCATTGCCAGGTAGGACGTGTTCAGAGTCGGGTCCGGCTGTCCCGTCCCGCTGAAATTGTACAGCCGGTGGAAGAAGAACCTGCATTCTGCCCGACCGAACGTGTGGGCCCCTACAACAATTTTTTGAAAAAAGTTTTTATCTTTAGTGAAAAAAACCATATCCAAACCGAAAAACTCACTGAATGCAGTAACTGTAATATCACATCAAACAATAATTCTTAATTATCTAACCTTTTTTGAGTATACGATAATGCGACAAGGTTGTTGTTAATCTTTAGACACGACGTCGACAAACTAATTAGCCGTGATATTAGGTATAGTTTCGAAAGTTTGAATTCTATTTTTGCTACATAATGTGTGTGTATATACAACCTCCAACCGAAATACTCAATAAATGCAGTAACTGTCACATCAAATCAAATCAAATTAATAGTGATTTTTCTCCAATCTTTATAAGGTAAGTACCTGATAATGCGACAAGGTCGTTAATGTTGAGACCGACGGCAACAAACTAATTAGCGGTGATATTAGGTATGATTTCGAAAGTTTTTTAATCTTTTTTGCTATTTGCTATATATATATATATACTTAGGACAAAATGCAGTAATTGTCACATCAAATCAGCATCAACATCAAATCAACCACTAAATTTTATCCAACCATTATATATGGTAAGTACCTGATAATGCGACAAAGTCGTTAGTGTTGAGACTAACGTTAGCAAACTTAGCAGTGATGTTAGTTACGGTATCGAACGACGACGGAATAGCCGTGTTCGCTAATGCCATGTTCGCCGTTCTGCTGTCTGTCCTGCCGCACGGCACAACCCACGATGGACCTCCCGCCTACAAAATTAAAAATCAATGGCATATATACATATAATTAGGTCTTTTTTTTTTTGCGCACTAGAAGCATGCCTCGTTAATCGATCATTACAAATTACTCGTGACGATAAAATAAAGCGATTTTCATTCGGGAGATATATATTACTAGAGATATGGCAGCTTGAGAAGCAAGCGCAAGAATGTCGGCACACGACACGACGCCAGGGCACGCCTGCTCGAGAGCCGCCTTTATATTGTCCACAACATCAAATCCACGAGCCGAGTTCGCATTCGGACCCGCGTTTTTCTCGCTCTGTATTGAATTCGTCGTGTTGTCGTCCAATAACACCGATCCATCACATCCCTAAAAAACATAACATCTTTTTTAGAAGAAAAAAGCTACACATATATAAATATATGCACATTAATAAAGAAAACGTAACAATGCGTGTTTTAAATTATGAATCGAGACCTGAACGAAGCAATCGTGGAAATGGAGGCGAATGAGGCTAGCGCCAATGCGCGGATCGCTGGATAAAGCTTGACTGAGTTGAGTAGAAACAATATTCGTCACGTTGGGGCAGCTAGTGGAGTAAAATGTGGTGCTTAGCTGAGCTTCTGATATAAAAGGAAGTATGAAAAAAATGGTTGTGACAGTTACTATAGGTAAGAATGAAGAAGAAGTGGACATTTTGTTTAGCTTAATATGACAATTAAGAATGCAAAAGGTCTTGATTGTTGGGGGCTTGAGCTAAGTTACATATTTATACTTTGATAGTGAAAAAATTAGAGCGTGATTTCTGCAAAGATTGAGTGTGGAAGCTAACAATTAGATGCCATTTTTTTTGTGTTTTCATTTCTTTTTCTTTCTATTATATTTGGGATTAAGTCAATAAAATTATCTACCGCAATCAAGGGGAATTAGATTCTGAAACCAACGCGTAAACATGAATGAGTCTCTTGCATTAGTTTTTCTATAAAAGTCCTCAGGAGAACAAATCTCAGTTGAAAAACTAACCAATCTTTAAGGTAGAACGTCACTGTCACAGATTTGAGAATTGCAATACTTTAGAAATAAAGTGGAGGGGATGGAACCTATATTCATGCTAGTGATCAAGATTTTTTTTAATGTTTATAAATGTGATTTAGTTCATAATTTATTTCAGTATCTAAAGTCTCGTTGGGAGAGAATAAATTTCATTTTATAAATAATATATGAAACCCAATATTTTGTTCGTAACCTTAATATTTAATATCTTACCAATTGTACTAAATTTCGATGATGAGGCCGAGCAATGAGCATGCAAGAAAATATAAAAATAATGGGAAAACATAAAAAAGGTGAGGACTGAGGAGGTAATATTATATATGTGTTGACATAAATAATATAAAAAACTATATTTCAAGAAATAAGATTACACCAAAAAATATGATTTTCATATAAGTTTATTTATATAACAACTAGCTTACGGATGCACATAGTTCTAAGCTAAGAAACCTACGGAACATCCAAAATGCATGTTTTATAAATTTTAACAGTTAGCACCAAAAATATTATAAGGACAAAAGATAAACCCACACATATTACTTAAGGGGGAAATTTAATTCCGTCAATGATGTTCTATGCGAAGATTCACGATACATGTTTATTTCTCTCTAACAAAAGGATTCAAAAAAATATCTAATCATTTTTTTTTTCAAAAGGATTTTGAGTGCATTCACGTACTTCTTTTAAAAAAAATGATAAATTGTAAACTAATTAATCTCCCCCTATATCTTCTATATATTAATTTAAAATGTGTTGAGCCTAAGTGGAAGACACGCACGCTTTGACAAATATATCTTTGCTTCCTAATTTAATTTGTGTAAAAAATTATAGTTTAGAATTAAACTTAGTATGGTACATAAATATATAATTTTTATCTAACTTAGTAATTGCCCATATATTTTGGTCTATTTCTTCTTAAATCGGGCAACCACATACCTTCCCATCTTTATAAATAATATCATGCCCACTAATATTAATGAAAGTCCAATTTCATCTTCTATCCATGAAAAAACAATAAATCTCTATCCTTTTCCATTATAATTAGAGGCACGGATATAGGCAGATATAGGATGATGATAGTTGTATACAGTGCATTTTCTCAAATTTTAATAGCACACTTATTTAATTTGTATCATTCTTAAAACCAATATATGCATAACATTTTCCATTATTTCAACCTTGATACATTTAATATACGAATTGATTTTATCTATATGGTAATACCTTTCTTCACACTTCAAAATCTTCACCTAATTCGTAACATAATTTTAACACAATATAAAAAAAATAATAAATTGAATGCCTAAATTTGGGTGATTTGGCCTTGATACAATAATTCATTTAGCTGTGATAATTAATTTATATTTTTCTATTCTTTTTTTTAATTATAATATTACAAAATTAATATTGACACGTTATGTTTTCCTATCTTTTTTCTAAAATGACTATTATCTTATTAACCACTTAATATGTATAAAATGAACAACTTGTACCATTATTTTTTATTTGAACCGGTGAGGAGAATATACATCATGCAAAATAATGACAACATTGTTCGACTCTATTGCTGAAATTACAGCAGAAAAAAAAAAACATGGTAAATTCGTGTCCGTTGTGTACGAGTATGGTTTAAGCAAATTCTAAACTAGCCCGAAATGCACCAAACTATGGAGATTTGTGCTGTGGATGAACATGTATCATTTTTTGAATTAACATTATCTAATGGCGGTCTATATCTACCAAAACCTATTTTCAACCATTGAAAACTTTATGTTGTCTGTATCTAGCGTTAAGAACCGAGAGGGCTTGAAAATTTTGTTCTAAAGCAAGGATGAAAATATTATAAAAGAGAACTAATAATATTTCGTGAAGAGAAATATTTGAAAATTTGAAATATAATACCAATTTACGCAATTATTTTACAACTATATTTATTTATTTTTGTGTATGCTTATAATAACTAAATTATTTTTCTACGACCCGTGTAGTACACGGGTTCGTACTAGTCGTTTATTGTTAAAAAAAATAAATCACATATATTAAGTGCACAACTATTCCTCTTATGTGACGGAATCGATAATCACTTGTAATGAAATTTTACCATCGCTATGTATACAAAATTACGTTCTTTAAAATGTTAAAAAGTAATTTTACTTTTTTTAATAAATTATTAAATGAAATAGATTCAACCGATCAATATAGGAAACTCTTAGGGTGTGTTTGGAGTTGTATATAAAAATAATTAATTTATATTCAAAATCTAACTGATCAACTCAACTAGCCTCGATATTTTTATTAATGTAATTAAGTAATATCGATTCATAATTCTTACATATCACAGCAACTTCAATTCACTATTCATCGATCAATTCATATAATTTTATCTAACAATCACTTCACATCATCTCTCTCTTACTTTTACAATAAAGTAATTTTAATTATTTTATTTTAAATATTATTTTAATATAAACTTAAAATTACACTAACAACTAATACTACCACATGTTAACAAAAACAACTCGTTTTGTGCGGTATCCAGTCACTCCCTTAATCATAACTTTACATTTGTTTCAATCTTTTGATAAAACGGTGAAATTATTTTTTAATAGAAATATGACGTTATGATACATTATTTTTCAAGAAAAATAATAAACTCAAATACTTTTTTTGTTTAATGTAAAAAGAATAAATTACACACATATTTAAGCACATATATATTTATTTTTATAAAACATATATATACCACTATGGCTTATAAATAGGAATATATATGTATATTGTTGATACTCAAAATTTGTTGACCCGAATTAAGCCTACTAAAACCATATACAAATACAATCAATACAGACGATATCCTCAAAATTTAGATATTAAGAGCATGTTTGTTTATAGAAATTTTTAGTTTTGTTTAGATTTTTTGGTTTGGTTATTTTTGAAAAAAGTGGTATGACTAGGTGTTAGTGGGTATATTAAAATAATATTTAAAATAAAATAATTAAAATTGATTTGATGTAAAAATATGAGAGAGATGATTTGAAGTGATAGTTAGTTAAAATAATGTGAGTGGATGAATACTGAATTAAGGTTGATGTGGTCTGTATGATTGATTGATTGATATTATTTAATTATATTGGTAATATTGATGATAGTGGGGTTGAATTAAAGTTGAGTTAAAAAAAGTGATTGATTTAAAATGTTGGAAATTTTTTGAAAAATCTTATAAACAAACATGCTCTAAGCAGACAAAAAGACGTCGACCTCAAAACACCTCCTTCCTACATGCCGACCTCATTCCAAGCTATGGGGTATTCACGTTGACATCTGCCAGAAACAAGACCTCCTTGCCGACCTTAGCATGAAAAGAGTTGTCGTTCAAAATTGATTCTCACCGCCCAAAAAGATAAAGTAGGGCAAGTTGCCATGCCAAGTGTCGCGATGTATGCCGGTAGCCTCTTAGAAGCTGCCACGCGTCCCACATATATTATATTTTAAAGACCTCTAATTCTATAAATAGAGGCGTTTGAAGGCTTCAAAGATCATTGAGTTCCATTCCAATTTCTATACTAACTAAGCTTTCAGTTCACTATACTAATTAAGATTTCAATCTGATTTCTACTGTATTAAGCTTTCAGTTCACTATATTAAATCTCCATTGTTTCCATTAGCCTATATTAAATCTGATTTTAATATTGTTCACTACACACCAAAAGTTCTGTTGCTACTAATTCTAATTTGTAGTTTCCATTAGCCTACATTAAAAAAATATGTGTTGCACAACTACACTACTCACCTAAACAAAAATGCAAAACTTGAATCATATGACTACTGTAGAATCTTAGCTTGAGATTTAAAACATATGTGCTGACACAACTAAACTAATAAAATATCAACATTTGATTGATTTGCAATTCAATCTAAAAAATTTCAATTCTAGTAACAAAAAAGATGCCATTGTTTAATATTGTAAATGGAAACACGCAATCAACAAATCAGACATCACATGCTTATATGTCCAATTCCCTATATACACAAGTAGGAGTGAGCATGGTGCGGTTCGGTGCGAAAACGCATAAAAAATCGAAAATATTTATTTATCTCAACCGAACCGCACCAAAATTTTCGGTTTGGTTCT